AGGTACATCTAAATAGCCTTAGGGCTCTTAAAGTAAGCTCTTATTTAGGTAACTATAGTAGTAAAGTCTTAGATATTCCTACTACTAATTTAGGTAAAATAAAAGGTAAAAGCCTTACCTTTAAGCATTAACAAGAAAGCTAATACTATTTAGTGTCTCTTAATGCTAATTTTACTACAGTTATTATAGAATAAGTTTAACTTAACGTTAAGCACGTTATACATCTTACTAGTATACTTAGATTTATTAGTAATAATCTTAGTTAAGGTGCCTAATTACTAAGGAGAAGGATAGTTACTAATAGCGTTACTCTTAATTAGCAGTAGCCATCCTGTTCCTTAGGGTTCCACAGGATTAGTGTATAAGCAAGTAAAGGGTTCCTACTGTAATTAATAATAAGCAAGGAAGAATAATAGACCATTACCTTGTTAAGACAGTCCCTATGTCACATTATATAGGGGAAGCAGCAAATCTTGCATAGATCAAGTCTACTGTAGTAATACTAGGGTTTACTGCTCTTGCTACTATAACTTCTACACTTATTCATCAAGTTAGGCCTACATTATTACCAGTTGTCGCTCAAGGTTTATAAACATTACTAGGCTCTATTTAGTTACATAGGCAACAGGCTACTATCACTGTTTTTACTTACGCTACTCTAGGCTAATATAACCACGTTAAATATTATTCAGGAAGCCATCATATATTTCAATAAGCCTATTAAATATTACTAACTTATACTATACCTTCTTAACTTCTTCATCTATCTAAACACAAAACTTGTCATTATTAACAACAGTAACAAGGTATAAGGCAATTTATTAACAGTCTTTAGGTATATAGACGCCTTAATTAAGAAGGAAGTCACAAAAAATCAATAGTAGTGTTTTACCAGCAGCGCCAAAGAGGGCTTTATCCTATCCATCAAAGTGACATTAAAAGTCCCTCTAGAGCTTACAACCTATAAGGGCACATTTAGCCTATTTAGCTATATAATAGGCAAAGTAGAAGTAAATAGTAAAAAGGTCTTACTTATTAAGAAGGATTTCTTAGCTATACTTCTTATAGTTAATATATCTTACTATAGAGGCAGGCACCTTAGGGTGCAAAGTACTACTAAGTTAACTTATTATAAGGTTAGTTATTAAGGTTAATTAGTAGTAATTACTGCACAACTTTCACAGCAGTAATCAAGTAGTAAGTTTCTTCTTAATATAACTTACACTTATAAGTCTAGACAGTACTAGGTTAGTTTTACGTATATAAGGTAAATAAAGATAGTTTTCCAAAGAGGTAGATATAAAAATAAAGGGGAAAGTCAAATAAGGTAGTAATTATTACCACTTAAGTGTCTCTTCTTAATAGCGCTATAGTTAGCGCAGAAGAGATTCTTGCTTATTAAAGAGGTTCTAATAGCGTAATAGACGCCATAGTGTTTCTTATAGAGGTAAAGTGGCCTCAATAATACTTAACTTAGTTAGTAGTCTACTAGGTTATAGTAGGCCAGGCAAACTCCTATAATAGTAAGCCTTATTAATTACTAGTTATCAGTAATAATTAACCATTAATCAATATTAGTTTTCACTAGCTAATTAATAAAATCCTGTATCTTATAATATTACAAAGGTTAAGAAAAGGTAGTTAAATTTATAGTTATTAATAGTTAACTAGTTAACAAGGTAAAGTAGGAGCACAAGTGTAGCAGCACCCTTGCGTATAGGCAAGGGTAGGGGATTCTGCCAGTAGGCGGTGTATTACGTAACCCACCGCCTCCGGCCGCATCACCCATATACCAACAGATACTATTATTATTACTACAAGAACAGGAAAACCTATCTAAATAGCAACCTTTTCTCCTTTGCAGTATACCTATAGGTAACTACACAAGACCCTAGTTAATATACTACTACAGAAAATAGATAAACCCTCTAGCGCCTTCCTCTTAGCTAAAGAGGAAGTAGACCTAGCACTTACATAATAACTATATAACTAAGGTATTATTACTACACCTAGTAAGCCCTTTAAACAGTTAGGCAAAAGCAAGATCTAAGGCCTTATTAACTATAGTGTATTTAAGATTATTATATATAATTCTTTTATTTACTAGGGCTACATCTTTAAATCTTACCTTATTAATAAAGTTAAAAGCAAAAATAATAAGCTATATAAGAAATTATAACTTATAGTATAAGGTTATAGTAATAATAGTAAAGAAACCTTACTAGTTTAGTTACCTATAATTTAGAAAGCTAGCTAGTATATAATTTTTATACTTACCTTTTCTCTTATAGCTAACAGTAAGGTAATATAGCTACAAGATATAACGTAGGCCTATACATAGTTAACTTTATAACTTAACTACACTATCTATATATAACTTCCCCTTTAAATCTATAATTACTACCCTTAAGGCACTATTATAAAGGTAGTAAAGCTATTATATAGCCTTACTAAAGTAAATACTTATTAGTAAGCAACCTATAACTACTACTACTATAAAAAGCTTAACATAGTTACTACTTTATATAACCTATACCTACTCCTTTTATCTATAAAAAACCCTAACTTTATAATAATTAAGATATAAATAGACAATATAATTAGCCTAACTAGCGTTAATTTCTCTAACTACAAGGATAATAAGCTTACTAAAGTAAAGCTCTTTACAAAAGAGAAAATTTTACTTATAAAGAATAAACCTTTAGTATTTAACAGAGGAATTATCTTATTAACTTTAGCTAAAGACACCTCTATTATACTTTACTAGAAGGGCTAAGGTATAAAGCTAAGACTTATTAATAAAAAATTACCTATAGCCTAGTAAGACTACGTCTAGTAGCGCACTTAAGGTATATATATTACTTTTATCTATTAGCCTAAAGTATACTTTAACCTATCTACTATAGCTTAGCATAAGAAGCTAGATAGTAAAGCTATTTAATAACTTAACTAAAGAATCTAGTAGTAAATAAACACACTTAACTATAGCTTTACCTTTATTCCCCTTAACCTACCTAATATAAAGCTCTTTATGTTTATTAATAGATCTTTTACTAATAATTATAACTTAACTTTATAGTTAGGATTTATTATTCTCTTTACTAATAAAGAAGTTAATAACTAGTAAAGTAAGTTTACTTTTTATAGTAATATCCTCTATTTCTTATTAACTAAATTTAAACAAGTAACATAAAGTGTTCTTATATTAAAAGTCTATAGTATAGTTATAGGCATTAATATAGTGTATACTCTCTCTATAACTATTATAATAGTAGTAAACAAGCTTAGTAACCTATTAATCTCTACTATTATTTACACTAACTTATACTTACTATATAAGTGCCTAGTAAAGTTAGGTACTATCTATAAGAAGCGCTTAATAATTAACATTATAGTACTATAATAATTATATAAGCAACGCAAGCTCTTTAAGGTATAATAGATCTATAGCAACAATAACCCTGCTAATAGGTTCATAAAGTCCTCACTAAACCAAGCACTTAAGAGTCTTATCTCTTATAATAAGGCAAAGATATAAATAAAGAGATAGGTTATATAAATATAATAAGAAACAATAAGAACAACAGGATACAGGATAATAGACACTTAGAGGAAGAAATAGGTTATATAAACTATATAAATTAATAGTAGTTAAATCTATCTAACGTAAGTATATACCTTTAATAGCTATAGCTAAAGAGAAATATACCTAAACAAGATAGTGTAAGCCTACCTTTACTAGGTAAATAGATAAATAAATTTATAGTAGTATATAACTATAAAAAGTGTAATACTTTTACTCTTCTTGTTTTTATTACATTTTTAGGCTTTTTAGGAGAAATAGAAGCGCTAGTAACTTTTACTACACAAGAAAGTTACTAGTGTTAGTATATAGGTAATATAGCCAGAGGCAGTAGGTCACATAATATACTGCCTACTAGCAGAATCCCCTACCCTTGCCTATACGCAAAGGTACTACTACACTTATACTCCTACTTTACCTTATTAACTAGTTAACTATTAATAACTACAAATTTAACTACCTTTTCTTAACCTTTATAATATCATAAGATACAGGATCCTATTAATTAGCCAGTAAAAACTAACAACTACCTTTATTAAAGCCTTACTTAGCACTAGCCTATTATTACCTTTGCCCTTAAGGATACTAGTCTTATTTATATTATATCTATTAGCTAGTTTAATAGCTTAAATATAAAGTATAGTAAGATATTTAAACTAGTCCTTAATAACCTTAGTAAATGCCCTATTAATATACTTTAAATTAATAAATTAACTTCTCTAGACCTTAATAGATAGGTTCTTTTAAATAAAGCTATCTATCTACCTTTTGCCTAGAGGTTAGGTATCCCCTATAGCTTAGAGAATATAATAGGTAAAGTCTTTTAGTTGTTGATAGGTTAGTAGGTGCCTAAGGTCTACCTAGGTAGTTACCTAACTGGCTAGGCTGGCCTCTTGGCTAGTTAAAAGCCTCTAGAGGTCTTTAAATGCTGCTTTCCTTGGTTAGGTACCTCTTAGTTGATACTGGAGGGTTGTTTGTGGGATGCTATAGATAGAAGCTGCCTAGATAACACTATGGCTGTTTTTAATAGCGTTAATTACTTAATTAATCTTATCTTTGGTATACTAAACTATTAGTATATAAAGAAGGTATCCTGAAAAAATAAAGTGATTTAATAAAGGTTGAAAAAAGTAGTAGTAGTTTGAAGTTATAGATATAGCTGTTAATGGGGTGGCTGGGCGGCATTTTTGGCATGCCGAAATGTGGGGGGTGCCGAAAAGTGGGTGGGTTGACTTACAGTCTTGGTTCTTGCAGACGGATTCCGCGCTTGCAAACTGGCAGGCCCAAGTAGGAGCAGCTGAAAGGTTGATGATAGGCGATGTACAAAACGAGGTCTGTGTCCTCCCTTTCCTTCCGAGCTGATAGACACATTGACTTTATTCTGAAGGCCGTAATCTGGCGAGAGGGTGTGTGGGCAATGGATAACGCCGCCGTTGTCGACGCGTTCAATCTAGCTGGCGAAGACCGGGATGCACTGAAAAGGGTGTACAACATCTATCCCGACAGACCCTCCTCTTCCAGAATTGGAGCCTTGGATTTCATTAACGACTATAAATTTCTCCTTCCAGCGGAGAACATTGCTGGGCTGTTCAAGGCTGCAGGCAAGCCGGCCTATCGTTACCTCGTTGATGAACCGAATCCTTGGCAGCCGTCAAACGGCGCTCATCATGCTGTCGACCTGCTTTTCCTTTTTGGGGGGTTCGATCTATGTTTTTTCCCCTCGGCAAAAAGGACTGGAGAACACATGCGCGAAGCGTTCATCGCGTTTATCCATGCCCAAGAACCGTGGAACCCTAGTTGCCACGCAGGGTTTGGGCCATACGGATCGTTTCAGGAGCTCGATAGTGCTGGCGTTGGGTGCCGAAGGCGAATGGAGGCGGCAGAGTTCCTGCGCAGTGTCCCGTCACAAGTCCTGGATCAGGTCTTCTTTGCTCTCGCTGCCGGCCGAATCAGCTTGTCAAACTGACCCGACTAGGGAAAACACACGTTTACCAATGCGAAAGAACGCCATGGTGTCTAGCCATGGTTGTGTAGCTCATTTTTCTGTGTCCATCAATGGCGGTAACGGTATACGTTTTGTCCCGCTAGCGGTTGCGCCAGGTTATTACGTATATCGTTCGGTTCCTGCATATTACAAAGTGATCGACCGTTAGGCAGACAAATCTGTGGGCCGTTGGGTGCCAAAATGAGAAAATTGACGCAGTCTCATCAGAGGTATCCCATATGTGGAGATATCGGCTGCTATGTCGCCAATGATGGGTGGTGTGGGTTTCACGGATGTTTGTGGAGGCCGAACCTGGTAAACGCGATCATCGATGTGGAAGCATGACGGCGTTTCCCCCAATCGTGGCACGGGGGAAACGGCGTTTGCAGCGTTTGCCCCAATAATGACATCCTCAACTTCCTGCTCAGTCAAAGCTCGGGCGAGTACGGATCAGTCAGTGCGTGTATGGTTTTCAGCCCTGAGGACATGACGAGCTGAACTGTCAAATGCTGTTCAACACCATGGATTTACTCGGTCGTGAAAGAGGCATTTAGGATGACTGAACTCGGCGTTGGGAACAGCATACTTCATAAAAACTACTCTTGGTAAATCATGTGAGACTTGAGAGATCAAAGGTTGTGTCATCTGAATGGTGAACTGGCCGCCATCTTCAAGCATTTCCATCTGAATTGCTGGGGCAGCTGCTTGATATAGGCGTCATTCCCGTTACGATCAGGGAGAATACATTGTACATGGCCAAAGACCCGAGCGTCACGCATTGCGCTTCTCCGTGCAGCAACCAAGGTACCACACTGCACTGGGCTCGGTCACAGTATGCGGCAACGTATATTCCTCCCCGGTCGATTAGTTTGGCCCATGTCTGCACGAGTCTACACTGTCTGCCCTATAAGGAAGGTGGCCTGAAATGTATGTTTGCACTACCCAGCTTCGACTTGAGCCGTTGATCTACGATCCGTTCCGAGATCTACCCGGCGCTTGCCTGTTATATCTTGGTGAAAGTTATCAGTCAGGATGATTACGCATAGGTGGATATAGAGATAAGGGGAAATAATGGAGGGTCACAGATATTCCACATTTAGCACCATGAGATGGCGAAGCTGCCCATTTCGTCCCTCGGTATGGGCATGGGATAAGTAAATTGCGGCCGATGACCTAAGTTTGTTTGTTTGTTTTTTTGTTCATAGATCAACCGCCGCAGCCGCGACCGCTTTGAGGGACAAGAAGTTCTCACGAGCGTGCTTGAGTTTCGACCAATACGACTGTTTACGGACTCGACTTCATGTCTGATTGCTAGAGCCGGATATTATGGCGGCCGAGATCAACAAGGATTGATAGGGCATGTCACTTAGGGAAAAGCTACCGAGCTTGGAGGACCTCCCATTAGCTAAGAAGTGCAATTATGACTAGGATGCTCTTAGCCTAACGAGTACAAGATCTTCGTTACCAGCCCACATAAGGTATAGTCGGCCAGTAGCCTGCGAGCCTGAGTCGTAATTTACGTAGCCCTCAACGCGTGTCCCGACAATCATCACGCCACTGGGGTTTCGGCCTCACCGACAGCATCGTCTGAGTGCGTATCTGTATGCCTGACATGCGTCGCTGCAAAGGGTATCAGGACATGAATGATGGATCCTTTGTCCATAACAATGCATGCCGCAAGAAGCATCTGTAGGCCGCCAACTCGGCCTATGGCGAGATTTCCCGGCGCAAGTCTGCTATCCTGTCCGCCCTGAGGGGGTATGGGCTCCTGATGAGCTTCTCGGGCTTTGTAAACGGATTTGACCTGACCAGGAGATGCTGGAGTTGGATGAGTTTGGATGACAAGGCGCTCTGATTTGCAACCATTCGCTCGGTTTTGGCTCTGCCCATTCGGATCCTCTTCTGTCGGAGCACTTGAGCACTAGTTCACACTGAACTCATCTTCGGGGCCGGGCCTAGTTGGCACCAACCAATCTCTAATACCAAGATTCACCGAAGCATACAAAGATCCAATAGCAATCCGGGCCAGAGATCTAGGTCACAAGCTTCAATTTGCCTCTTGGTCGCTAGGATAGGTTGGAACATTTGTTGTGACTCGGCCCGAGTCACTCGGGGCGCTTTCAAATCTTGCATACGGCATGGACCACCATATTACAGGACCGGCGGGCTGGTAGCTCATACCACGCACGGCTGGTTGGCTCTGTGCGTTGACAACTGGAGATGAATTGTCAATAAGCTGAGCTTCGAGGAACGTATCAAATGTATCATATCGTGACACCGGGCGGAAGGGTCTCGCCCGAGCCCATCTATCTCGCAGTCGATTCAAGAATCAAAGTCGGCTGCTGAACGGCGTTAAACTTTCGGGCCGCAGCGCGGTCTACTTGCATACCTTGCAACAGTGAATACTATGATGGCTTGTAATCATGCCCTTCCTGGGCAACAAGCAATAACAAGTGCGTAAGCTAGGCACAGGAGCCGGTTAAACAGGGAGATCAGAGTCGGTCCGCCGAGCGTTTCGATTCTCACATGATGATGGGCTTGCGGGACCACCCCTGCAAGTTTCCTGTTAGCTTTGTACGACCTCGGCAACGACCCGTGAGACTGTCGAACGACTCAGCGCCGACGATGAAGTTGACTAGTCTCGTATGGTACTACCTACCACCTTGTAGAGACCAGACACACGGGCCTGTGAAACTTTATTCGGCACATCTCGGCGCGATCCGATTAAGCGTAGGGCTTTTACTGTGTACGCCCAGATGTTTATTGAACAAAGGCACCTAAACCCGTCAGTGGGGCTACTTACTTGGGAAACCGTAGTTTATATGATTGGCACCAAGGTTGAGCCTGATTTTCTTGAGATGTTTACGGCCCAAAAGAGACACCTGAAACCACAATTGCCCGAAAAAGGGCGTGAGGTGAGGAACGACTGAGCGAGGATGATGACGAGGTCCAGTAGCTCCATTCACTGTGGTCAGGGTTAAGATTTGGCCGAAACCCGTTTCTGGCGACATGCTTCAGGGCCACCGGAGGAGTCCTCCGTTATTTTAAGTTATACTAGTCATCAGGTCAAGAAACAGACGCCCGGGCAGAATGCCGTGATGGATTCGTTGGAAGCCAGCACTTAATAAAAAAGAAGAGATTCGTGGCTGGGCTAGAACCTCTTGGTTAACACCTGCAGGCAACCTGCTTGGGCCGAGAATGACGTCGGCTAGCAGACGCCGCGCAAACTCTATTTGTATGACGCGTTGGTTTTTCTTCTTTCTTTGCCAATTCACTGTTCCGAGTCTTGTGTCCCTGAGTGAAATGTACGTCCAGGAATCAATTGGTGTTGCCGTTACTGACAAAAGGCTGATATGACGAACGAGTGTATGTATTGGATTCGTTGGAGCACGAATCACGATGACTCCGGCCTGCGGCAACACCGGAGTTGCAAACCTCAAACTTTTTTTTTCTTTCTTTTTTTTTTCTTCTTCTTCTTTTCTTTTTCCAAACCGACTTCCAACCAAGAACACGGGAGAAGCCACCACCTCCCCCCTTCTATCGAGCCCGTTCGCAAATGTGGCTGTGATCACGTTGCAGCTAACAAGGGAACCATCAACCAAACAAAACTGTATGATGCCGAGTCGCACCAGTTCCAGCCCCTGCCGCCTCGGAAATTCTGCCCACGCAGCAAAATGGTCATGTCTGCCCATCGACTATCCCTGCTGGACCAAGTTAGGCCAGCGTTCGAAGGGCTAGACTCTGGCCGTCCTGCCGCTCCTCGCTCGCTCGGATAATGCCCCCCCTCACACCACACCCACCGAGCCACGCTGCCTGCACACCACCCAGATAGATACCTACAGGTACTTGGCCATAATACACACACACACACGGTAAACACCCATAGACCAAGACATGTCTGGCTTATCCATTTGGCACAACTCGACCCCACCTCCAAAGCAAGACGGGAAGGTAGGTGGACCCTGAATATCTGTCTCTTACGGTTATCCTGTTCTCTTCTCCGCCATTAAAACAGTGCCGGCCTCCCACACTCGATCCTCGAAAGCCAGTGCCTGGTGCTGCTAGCCTTCACGAAAAAAGCAGGCCCCCGGTCATGATACCCAGTGTTCAACGGGTTGACCACGACCGAGACGAGATCTGGCCCGTCTCTTCTTAGACGTTTCTTTTACACGTCTCCCTCCGCTGTCGGCAACGTTGTCAGCCCTCTGGTTTCCCGCGGACAACTGTTCAGACTTGTCAGCATTCGGCAAGCTAGGCTCTATAGTGCGAAAAAGACCGGCTTTTATCCTTTATCTTTATTTTATTTCTTACACGCCAACTACCTTCCCTTAAACCGCCTTAACCGCCAGCACCGGATCATGGCATCGCCTGAGGAGCAAATGGACTCTTTGCGTGAAAGCTTAAGCCGCGTGATTCTTGACCAGCTTGCAGAAACACTACGGGATTATTCCTCGGGCAACCTGGTTAACCCAGTGCTCCGGTTTGAAGCGTTCATCCAGGATGGCGAGCCCGGGAACCAGGGGAATTCACCCCGCTCTCCCGTTGTTTCGGTAAGTCTTCGTCTTCGTCTTCTTTCTATTTGTTATTGAGGGCCGGATCGCGCTGGCGCCAAAGTGCAATGTCCGACCCCCTCCTCTCAAACTGATGGACTCCGTTGCACGGTAGAGCATAACGCAAAGCCATCGGCTAATACCTACACCAAAAAAAAAAAAAAACAATGACTATGCAACTAATTATTGTTAATGGGCTTCTTGTCTTTCTACTGTCAAGCGTGGAAGGCAATTCCTCGAGAATGGGTTTCGGCTAATAATATGTAACCAAACCCCCAGAAAATGGTAGATTTGTCTGGCATTATATCACAAAATGCAGCAAACAGCCCGAGTACGAGCAACTTCAGAAGAGAGACTATCGAGAACAAGAGTCCTCCCGCCTTTAGCACACAGACTACGATCACGGAAGGTCCGTCGAGCAGTAGCCAGTATAACCCACTTGTACTAGCGCAGAGGACTCCGGTACAAGGGCCGGAGCTACAACGCCCACCCGAAAGACCCGAGTCGGCCTTGCAACGAAGAGGAACAGGGGCCCTACGACCTCTCCAGGGAACCGGCCGGGTGATGGAGGATGAACCGGAGAGCCAGCGGCGGATGCAGATCGCGGGCAACTTCCCCAAGCGCACAAAGACCGTGGCATCGGACCCCGTCTTCATCCCGCAGCAGTCCTCGATCGAGAAGTTCGTCGTCAGCATCTGGGAGCAGATCCACGGCGGCATCAGCCTGGACCCCCAGAGCCTGCTCGAGCAGTGGCAGCTGACGGCCACGGCGGCGACGGCGACCATCAACAACGCCGGCAAGATCCACGTCCCCGAACAGCTCGAGCTCGGCCTGCTCCAGGCGCCGGCGACGGACGGGACGATGGCCGAGATCGACGTGGAGGGCACCTTCAACCGCAGCAACATCTTCTGCCGCAAGGTCACGCAGGCCAGCCGCGCGTGCCGCTCGATCGAGGTCATTGTCCAAGCGCGGTGGATCGAGCATTTCGACTCGTACGTCGAGCTGCTCGCCATCACGAACCCGGGCATGTCCCCGACCAAGCGGCGCAAGGCGGCGCTCATCGAGGCGTGCAACGACTTTGGGTGGTCGGAGAAGGAGCTGCGGAACAAGATGGCCATCTGGCGCGGCTACAAAGAGATCAAGGACGCCGGCGGCTGGGCGGCCCTGGTCTTCGCCGGCATGGGCCTCTACCGCTTCTGCAAGTACCGCGTCGGCTTCAACTCGGACAGCATGCAGCGGCTCCGGTGTCTGCGGCCGCGCATCGAGGTCGCCGCCGACACCCTGCACCCCACGTGGCGGCAGCTGCTCATGATCGTCGGGGAGCCGGCCCAGCGGCGCTTCAGCGGACACCCTCACGACTGGGTGGTCCGGCAGGACGGGTCGGATCCGGTGCCGCTCCGGTCGACGTATCTAGAATACGACCCCTACTTCAGCTTCGAGCAGCTGGAGCACTCCGTCATGGACATGAGCGCGTGGGGGACCGACGACCCGCGATGGGTGCCGCCCATGAACGCGGTGGCGTGCGTCCAGGGGAAGCACACGTGCCACTTGTGCGGGCAGGAGCAGTCCGAAGACCCCAAGGTCAACTCCTGTTACTGCTTCCCGACGCTGTTCGGGTCCGGGGGCCGCAGCCCGTGTCCCGTGCAGGTGTTCCGCACGCCGAACGGGCGCAACAACGGGCTGATGGCGCTCTGCCCCTTCGACCGCGGGGCGGCGATAGGAGAGTTCGTCGGCCTCATCACCAAGGATCTCCAGAACATGGACGTCATGGACAGCTCGACCGGCGTGCGGGCCTACCAGATCTGGCAGGGGCGGCAGGGCAACTTCACCAGGTTCGTCAACCACAGCTGCAAGTCCAACGCGCAGTTCCAGCAGTTTGTGTGGATGAGCACGCAGCGCATCGTCCTGGTGAGCAAGGGCATCGAGGCCGGGCACGAGATCACGGTGGACTACTCGGGGAGCTACTGGCGCGGCCTGGACAAAGACTGTCTCTGTGGGGAGTCGTGCTGCCGGTACAGAACTGCGCCACGGTGACGATGCTACCGACAAGGGGTGGGCGGGGGGGCGGGGGGCTTAGACTAGATGAAGAGGACCCAGCCCAGCCACGCTGTGGAGGATGGACAAAGAAGCTAGGACGCGCGAGGACGAAAAGGATCATGACCAAAATGTCCAACGTTCTGCGGTGTGGGCTTGAGATTAGTCCTCGGGGAGATTAGGGAGTGGACTAACGCCACTAGACGCTTTGTTTCCGGTAGTTGATCGATCCGAAGCCTTTACCGCCTCCCAAAGCAGTTCGTGGTAGAATCGTCCAAAGTATCCGTAAACTTACGGTATCTACCTGGGCACCGTTCTCCTCCGTCCGGAGCAGTACGCCCGCCCACATCCCGATGGACCCCCGGTTGAGTTTTCCCCCGGGTGGTGGGGGGGGTGTAAAGAGTGTCCGAATCGGATCCAGCCTGGCCAGCAGCCTCATCTGCATGAGGAAAAACTTTGCTGGCCTTACAAATGTGCACCGGCAGTTGTCCAGATTGGTAAATTTGCTAGTGTTCGTGTCAGGCTAGCGGGTTCCAGATCTTGTCAACGCTAAAAGTAAAGTGATCAGGACTTTTCAAAGCCCTCCGCACCTCTTCAGTCGCGCTGCTCGAGCTAAAAATTGCTCGGGGTCGCTTGTCCCGTGACCTCTTCCTTACCCTCCGGGGCTTTTCTGTCGCTTTGTAGTTATGTGTACGGAGTATCCGTAGAACGAACTTTAAACACACATACCCGGTAGGTTGGCCCTTCACCTCCCCCCTGGTTCGTCGGCCTGTCCCGACTAATGGGATCGACTCATGGCGCGGTCCTGGTTGTCGTGCGATTTCCTCTCTGGTGTCGCCGTGGAGTCGCCTGGGGTCTGAAAGCCCTACCCAAAAGTTCGCGAACCATCTTGGCCGAGACGGAGATGAGGTGTGGCATGGGTCTCCATCTCATTCCCGTCGTACCATGGATAAGCTTCAGTGTCGGATTGCGAAAACGGTAAGTATCGACGAAATGAAGCGTTCAACCGCTTTGAGGCGAGCATCTCTCTGTTGTCGAGGTATCCTACACGGCCCCTTTTGGTCTCCAATCAGAACCGAGCCTGGGGTTTTTACCGAGAGCCTTGGCCTCAAGCGAGCTTAGGTGTGGGATGGAGGTGGGACACAGCACACTTGATCCGAGTCTATTGTGATCTGGTCTTCTCTTCGTGCCTGTGGTTGTTGTTGTTGTTGTTGATGCTACTGCTGCCCTTTGCTGCATGACATCTACTACCTCTGGGGGGGGGGGGGGGGAGGGGGGCGCTTGATAGATCGCCGGAACGATCAAGATAGGATATGGTTTCCTATATGGGCATGACCGCCGCCAACGGACGATCCCTCTTCTCCATCTGCGTGTTGCGATTGAACAAATGTTCCCATCATCCCAAAAGCTCAGGGTTGTGCCGATCAGGGGTGCCAACCGAGGAGGCCCCCCACGGGTCAAAAGGAGCAGCGAGAGACAGTCGCACAGCCGTGGATGGCGATGACCCGTGCTTGCATACATACCTCCTCAGAGTATCAAGGTCTGTGGTCTGTGGTCTGAAGGCCAAGGAAAGGAAGGGCGTGAGCATCTTGGGCCTCTCTCCCATTTCTTCGAGGCTGTGCACCACCACCCCCTCCCCTCCCCCCCTAGACCGTAACGGTTCGTCTGGCGCCGCGTCAGGGCTCTGGTCCATCCCGCGCTTGACACATGGCAAATCACAATAGCAAATCCCGCCGTGTATATGCAAAGCTGTCCCCACATACTCGACGCTACCTGGCTTCGAACCAGTAAGTGAATGTCATAAGGTCTTGTGGCGGTCTCGCCTCATGCTACTGCAGGGCGAACTGGGCAGAAGCTTTCGGCACCCTCATGGGCAGCTCTAACCGGACCCGGTCTGCTCCGCGGAGATGTGTTGACCGTGTTGCAGCTATCCCGTTCTAGCCGGCTTCGTCCCATCGTTCAGCTATTCAAGCTTGTCACTTCTCCGATGCGCCCCTCGATTCGTAGAAGACGGGACTATACGGTCTCAATCCGCTTTCAGCCTTGGCTGGGGGGGCCCCTGAAGGGACATGTCAAGACTGGTTTCTCTTGAATGTTTTGGGTGGTTTCCAAGGAAGTTTCTGTGACCCCGGGGACTGAGAAAAGTCGTCGAGCTGTGAGTGCGTCGGGTAAGCCCACGTGACTCCTGTAATATCTGATGTGATGCCGAGGATCCCACCTGCGAAGGTAGTTATGCGGAGACGCCGTCAGGCACTGGAGCGACAGGAAGATTCTTAAGTGCGAGATAAATTCCTATTCCTTGAATTACTAGATATACTCACATTTGTCCGACTCTCGTATTTTCGTGGTTTTGCACCACATTGTTCAAGCATACTCTGTTTGTTATCAACATGTAGCAGCACGGCCCTGTATCCATTCCCCTCTGGAAGATCCTATTCTATCGGGAGCCTGTATGGGGGCGTAGTTGGGGTGGCTGAGCCATCTACTTTGTCGACCCTGTTTGTTCGTCGAGCCAGTTACTGAATTGCAGCAGACCTCGGTCCTCCCAGAGTGCCATGCCCTTGCCACCACCCACGCGCAGTAAGCACTACCCAAGCCGATCTTCCGTAACCATCCATCGAGCGGCCTACTCGCCTATGGCCTTTTTCCACAGTCGTTACCGGTTGCCGTATACGTGACAGCCGAGGTCGTGGTCCGTGTCGATGCAAAATCTGCGAACCGACATCCTGGCTCTGGACTTGCAGAAACGACCCGATGGCAGCGAAGAACGAGAAGGCCAAGAGACAGTCCAAATGGCAGGCTCTCTTCTTCCCGGTGTTTGATTGATCGTTACTGCGGGCAAAGGCGCAACGTAGACTGTAATAGGTGCGTCAGCAAACTCCTCTCAGCAACACACAACGCCGTGCCCATTCTAACATGCAGGCAGTGCTACAGAGAGCATAGTAGCGGAAATCGAGGAACATGATCCCCATCCATCGTTATCTGCGTGTACAGAGTGCGCGAAACGCACGATTGCATGGTACCTCACTAGAAGGAGCAGTGCCGCTGCTGGTGGCAATTCCGCTGTTGCCATCACTGCCTGCCTGGTAGTTCCAAGGATATCGAGATATCTAGTACTTTTTTTTGGGAGTTTCTAGAGGCGCTATCGCATCGAGAGGGGCTTTGTTGGCAAACCGAATACATCGATGGAGGCCGTGCGATCAGCTGCAAAGACCGGCAAGTCAACCTTGGGAGCCATTTACGAACGAAACCCTAACCAGATTTAAGATGGTTGCTAACAGGATGTGCTAGCAGTTTTGTTCTCGGTGCAAATGTGGACAAATAACGGCTCTCGGGTCACTCGCGCAGGAATGCCGACTCTGGCGTCGAAAAAACGAAAACTGTCAGAGGCGACAATACGTTCTCCAGATTCTCCACGCCTTTTAACAAGGGGTCTGGCGACGACCAAATATCGATGAATAAGTTTGCTTCTGTTCCGTGAGTCCATCTATGTTGCGTACGCAAGTGTCCGGACGACAGGGCGGAATGGAACAAGCACGTAGCTTACGACTTGATATTCTGCAGCCATTGCGTCAGGGCCAAGGGACAATAACGTAGCGTCTTTGGGCTACAAGAGTATAAACAGTTGGGTCACTTTGAACGCCGACAGCCGAGCCCCCCGAATCCGAATCTGTATGCGATCGCCAACAGAAACACGTGTCTCGGCGGGACGATGCGGGCTACGGAGATGATATCCTTTGCGACAGCCTTATGAGGCTCTGAAATAACTATACATTCGGCTCATTCGGATGGGATAAGGGAAAACCGCTACAGAAACGGGCCAATAACGATCTCGGGGGACTATATAAACGAATCAGGAGCCGTCCCAGGTGCCCGGATCCTAGCGGCTTGGGCCTTCTTTCCCCGCCGGCATGGGACTCAATCGGACGGCTGACAAGCGCTTCCAGTCCGGTAAAGTTGTAATGCGACCCGTCACATGCGGAGAAGTGTCTATCGAAAACGCCCCCCCCCTGCCGACGAATGTCTCGGAAGGGAGATGAGGAAAACGAAGCACAAAGGCTCATCGAGCCCGCAGAGGGTTTTCCCGACGACTTCTAGTGACGCTGTGTTCGAAGGGCCATTCTCCCCTTCCGTGCTGCGCCCCGAGCTGATGCGATATCCGCCCAGTGGGCTAGCTATGGTGGTTTCGTCCGACAACGAGCTGCGGGTAGGATAATATGCAGCTCAACAATGCCACTTCGCGCAACTACAAAAACAACGGATGGGTCATGATACTACAGGAAGTTTACAATGACCTGTGAGTGTTGCATGCGGGCTGAGCAAGTAAACGGGGTCGAGCAGTTAAGAAGGCTGAGTATGTTAATGGAAAAACAACGTGCTCTTTTTCCCGATTGGGACAATACCTGCTCAAACACGCGCACGCCCAACAGTCGGTACTACACGACAATGTAACAGAGCAGTACAAAACCGCTACGAGTACTTGAGGATAGTTCCACGGGGATTTACTGTAATTGGAAAATCTCCTGCAAGCCGAATAGTTGTGTCTGCTATCCCAAAACGTGGTCCTCCCAAGCACAAATCACCGAATCGAGCCAAAGAGAGGGAAAACAAGAAATAAAGAAAAGAAAAAAAACCCCATACGAGGGGAAACGACAAGATGCGAGGAAGAACACAGAGCACCTGCAGCGGCTCGAGCCGATCAAGCGCCTCAACCGGTGAACAAGCGTGAGCGAACCCGGGCGTCCGAATTCCCATTGAGATGGAATAGAGAGCGTGCATCTGCTGACGTCTAGCCTTTTTTTTTTCCCCCTTTTACAGGAGACACTTCATCTTTGACAGAGGTTTGTGAAATTCGGGACGCAGCGAAAGGGCTGCTGGGCCATGTTGGCTGGTGCGCGCGCATTACATATTACCGGACTAACACATCTGCCCAAACCCAGACTGGTACCCGGACCTCCCGCTGGTGATCCAGGCGAACCAGCTCATCATCGGACGCCTGTCGCTGGGCCACCCGATAACGGAGCTGGTCGAGGAGTCGGCCAGGAACGAGGCAGGCTGCACGCCGGGAACGATGGCGGCCTACTTCCATCACGCAATCACGCTGGAGCTGGCCTGCCTGATGAGCAACGACACAGTCCAGATGGCCATCGTCAAGGGCGTGAGGGTATGAACCGTTGTCGGTCTGGGCTTCATTGGGATTTTGGCGTCCTTCTCGCCGTCGTGTGGGAAACGGGTTGGCTTATGCCGGGGCACATGGGATGGGACCCGTGCCGTGCTTGCTGGAAAAGTGCGGAACGGACAAGATGTGCAATAACGGACTACTACGGAGTTTCTTTTACGTCTGAGGGAATCGTATCGGAGGGACGGCGACTTGGGCACTTATCGTTCGGATGACTTGGTTAATTAATTGAACGTGATCACCATCTGTCGTGCACTCTCGCACATCAGTCAATTAACAAGCGGGAATCGTTAGGATATGTAGGAAGTTAATCAAGCGTGCTGGTATTAGTCGTAGCGCGTAGTTTCCGAGAACAAGACACGAAGTTGATACAGGATGATATATGACGATGCGGCTGGTGTGCTCGCTATAGTAGTGTATTGAACCGAGTTGGCTGCGCGTGCAACAATGCTACGCAGCGCGAGGCAATGGGTGATGACGAACATAACCGACTTGGGATCAGAGCACCGCGACGGCCTCCAAATCCTAATGATTACCCTTCTGGACTGGTCGTGCGATGGAGCCACGGCAACGACCGTGTGCTAGGTGTAACGACGAGAGCACTCGAAATCCCAAGCCACACGTACAGATTGACCATCATCTTATATGCTCAGTCTCGAGACCCTGGAGACCTCTGACCATCGCCCGCTGTTGGACGGGTTGCCGCCCAAATGACATGCCTTACAACTCTAGCATGGAATCATCGGGCGGGCAACGGACGAACGAGTACAGCGGCCCAGAGCCGGACTGCACTTGGGCACCGGTACGAGCAAAATCCTGAGCTGAAGCCGCGTGGGGAGGGTGTGAGGCTGCCCGTCCACCTATTACGAGAATAGAGGTTTGGTTTGGCATGCAAGCATTTTGCCTGATGGGCCGGTTGGAACATGTAGCGGCTGTTAAATGTGTCGGAAGAACCGGAGCTGCTGGGAATGGGCCAAGCGTGGCGGTGCTGATGACATAATCATTCGCATGTCCCTTTTGGGATAAACTTATGTAATCACACGGCCACCTTCTCCTGCCAGCATGTACAAATATGGCAACGCACTGTACGTACGGAGTGTAAGGGATTCTGCCGTTTTCATTCGTTGGAGCGTACACTCCGCGTAAGCTCGGACAGGATACTTGGCGTCTCTAATTGGCTCGTCTTGCCAAAAGGAAAAAGGGACCTGCTTAGTAACTGCACTCAGCATCGCAGGTAGACAAGTACTTGGGCTGGTACATTCATAGGGAGATAGGTAGGTACACCTACCCACCTTGGCCACCTACGGATACCTAGGGAGGTAGGTACCTGCCTCTACGGGTACCTGTATCGTTAGGTGAGGAACTCACTGACGCTGGCTGCCGCACGGAGGCCGGCGGCACGGCTGCACTGCACTGCACCGCACCGCACCTCCTCGAGGTTTAGTGCCCATCCATGACAGATCATGAACTTTCATGTTTCGACATCATCATCACCCACTATATTCCCTACCTCATCCTGTCAATACAGCCTGCCCGTCGCCTGCGGTAATGACATTGTCGACACGCACCCTTCTTTAGCTGTCCATAATCTCGCCCACCTGATCAATGTCTGCTTGCTCAAAAGCGGCATCCATGGGCACCCCTTCTCTTCGGTCATAGTACATTTCGACTGCGTTGCTTTGCTTTGCATTGCGTTGCGGCAGCTTTCCACCATTCATTCCTTTCCAGCATCTCCGCCTGCGTCCGACCGACTCCGATACCACTCGTTACTCCATCCCAGACTGCGACGGGTGTTCCTAGACGCCTCCCCGCCGCCCCCGAGTACCTTTTCAACCCTGCATTCCGCCGCTACCCGTCACCGGCGGCGACGACGACGACTGCGACGATGCCTTCAGATCGCGACCAACGGTACGAATCCGTACCGCCTATCCCCAGTTACGATGAAGCCCTTGCGACCGGCGGCCCCGCCGACCCAAACGACTGGCAGATGCCACGCTCCCCGATGGACGGCCGCTCCCAGAACGAGACCGAGTCGCAGTCTCTACTCAACAGAAATGGCGTCGCGACATCCTCGCGCCGCCCCAACGGTTACCGCCCGCCAACGGTCGAGTCCGAAGACGAAGAAAGCGCATGGAGCAGCGACGACGAGGGCGACGAGACCGCCTACGTGCGCAGAGAGATGCAGGAGCTGGAAATAGGCCATCCCGACGACAGATCGCGCCCTTCACTATGGGGCAAGAGGATACCCTTCTCCCTCTCCCTGCCACAATGGCCGTCTTGGCGATGGCGACTGCCAAGGCTGCGCCCGATTATCCGACTACCATCCGGCCCGAACGAGAATTCCAACGATACCAACGATGCAAACGCGAGGACGACGACGACGACGACGACGAGACCGCGGATCACACTGCCGCAGTGGGACAAGGATAAGGCCCGGACAGCCATCATCATCTTCGCCCGCGTCTTCGCGGTCGTCTTTGTCATGGGCATTCTTTACGCACTTTTCATGAGCGATCTTTTCACCACCATGGCCAGGCGCATGAATGGCGGATTGCGCTTTAACCCCGAGGACGTGCGCATCTATGTTCAGAACAACGTCGAGGACCGCAGGATGAAGGCCTCGGTGGCCCATTATACCAAGTACGCCCACATGGCAGGAACCGAGGGTGACTACGCCTTGGCCATGGACGTCGAGTCCATGTTCACTAGAGCCGGGCTGGATTACGTCAACATCGACGAGTACTACGTATACCTGAACTACCCCAAGGCCGGAGGACGGGCGGTGGAGATCCTGGGCGAAGACGGGAAGGCCAAGTGGGCTGCGAAGCTCGAAGAGGAGGAGGTTGGGGGTGAGGCCGCCGGGCATCAGACCTTTGTGTTCCACGGCCACTCCAAGTCGGCCGACGTCAGCGGGCCCCTCATCTACGTCAACTACGGCTCGAGGTCCGACTTCAAGAAGCTCGCCGATAGCGGCATCGACACCAAGGGCGCCATCGCCCTCGTCCGCTACTACGGCTCGCAGGGGAGCCTTGCGCTCAAGGTCAAGGCGGCCGAGGAGGCGGGATTTGCCGGGTGCATCGTCTACAGCGACCCGGCCGATGACGGCTTCCGCCTCGGCGACGTCGCGCCCAACGGCCGCTTCATGCCCGCCGACGGCGTCCAGAGAGGCTCCGTCGCGCTGTCGAACTGGGTCCTCGGCGACCCCCTGACCCCTGGATGGGAGAGCAAGAAGAACCTGCCGCGCATGAAGCCCGACGAGACCAAAGGCCTGGTCAAGATTCCGAGCCTGCCCCTGTCCTGGCGCGACGCGCAGATCCTGCTGCAGCACCTCAAGGGCCACGGCGAGCAGGTGCCCAAGGAGTGGGCGGGAGGTGTTCCCGACGTCGGCGAATGGTGGACGGGCAACCTATCGTCGCCGATCGTGCGTCTGAAGAACGACAACGACGTCGTCCAGGAGAAGGGCATCTGGAATGTCTACGGCAAGATCGAGGGCATCGAGCAGGACCAAAAGTCCATCATCATCGGCAACCACCGCGACGCCTGGTCCTTTGGCGCCACGGAGCCCCACTCGGGCACGGCCATCATGATTGAGATGGCGCGCATCTTTGGCTCCCTCGTGGCCAAGGGCTGGCGCCCGCTCCGGAGCATCGAGTTCATGTCGTGGGACGCCGCCGAGTACAACATGATCGGCTCGACCGAGTTTGTGGAGCGCAACGAGGACCTCCTGAGGAAGAACGCCTTTGCCTACATCAACCTGGACTCGGCCGTCGCCGGCACCGAGTTCCACGCCGCCGGGTCGCCCGTCTTCAGGCAGACCGTCTACCGCGTCATCGACCGCGTCTTTGACGCGAACCTCAACGCCACGCTGCGCGGCCTCTGGGACCAGCGCGAGTCGGACCTGGAGGACCTCGGCATGGGCGGCGACTACGTGCCGTTCCAGAACATGGTCGGCACCAGCGCCCTCGACGTCGGTTTCCGGGGCGCGCGCTTCCCGGCCCAGTCCAGCTACGACAACTACGAGTGGGTCAACCGCATCGGCGACCCGGACTTTGCGTACCACGTCATGATGGGCCAGGTCGTCGGCCTCCTCATCCTCGAGCTCTCCGACAGGCCCATCCTGCCGTTCGACATGCTGGCGTACGGCGACCGCATCGAGCGCTACGTCAACGACCTGTCCAACTTTTGCGAGCACAGGGGCGCGAGCGCGCAGAACAAGTTCTCGCTGGAGCCTCTCAAGAAGATTGTCAACAAGACCAAGGACAACCTCAAGGCCTTCGCCCTGTGGGAGATGGCGTGGGAGAGCACCGTCATGGGCGGCGGCGGCTACGAGTCGGGCGAGATGGGCGACAAGCGTCTCCAGTTCAACAACCACATGGCCGACTTTGAGACGGCCCTGCTCGACCTGGAACAAGGCGGCGGCGTAAGTTGGCTAGATCCCCTCCTCCCCTCTTGCCCCGGATATCGACACAACATGCTGACTCTTTCGTATCTAGATGCCCGACCGCCCGCAGTTCAAGCACGTCATCTTCGGGCCCCAGGCTTGGTCCGGCAACGAGCCCGTCACCTTTGCCGGCATCCGCGATGCCGTCGAGGCTGGCGACTGGGAGCTCGCCAACAAGATGGTCGAGAAGACGGCGCGCATCATCAGGAACGCGACGACCACGCTGCAGGAGTGGGAGAAGAGCGCCGAGAGCTGACCACAGCCAGCATCCATGTTTTGAGCCTCTTTTTACTGGTTTTTTTTTCTTCTTTTTTTTTCTCTTTATCTTTTCTTATGGGGGGAGGGGGCTTTTGTTTTTCTTATTCGCCCTTCCACATTTGTATTTCTATATGGGGAACTCGTTTCCTCCCTCGATCTCCCTCTCCGACCAACTGCGTTGGAGCACCAATCGTTCCCTCCCCCGTTTCCTCCCCCTGCCATAATCACATGAGCTGGGGGGATGGGTTTTGGGGGACAGTAAGACAAACAAACGGCCGCGGCATCCCACCACCGCCTCACCCCGCCCGCACCCAAAAGATTTCCTCTCCGTGTATCCCGCCTCCCTTTTTTCTCGTCCAAGGACACACACACACACACACACACACACACACCACGTACTCGGGGGGAGGTCATTCCCGGGTGCAGCACCCGCAGGCCTCCTCCCTGTCGATTTCCATGTTATTTCTGTCGCACGGCATTGCAAGGAGTTTGGGGGTTTTTCGAATCCTTCCCCCCCCTTGCGTTATCAAACTGCAAGTTTTTCTGTTCCAAATGTTATCCAATTCCTCACTCCCCCAAGACATTCTCTCTCCCCGGTTCGTTGATAGATGTCGGCGCGGTGGCAGGTCAAGGAACGTGGGCTCGCTTTGATGTCACGTAACACAATAACCAGGAAAAGAAAAGAACTAAAAAAAAAATAAAAATAAAATAGAAGAACATTGCAACATCGATCGCTCCCCTCTCCCCTCACTTCCGAGCTATGGAAGTAGAGGAGACGGAAAATGAAAATGGAAAAAAAAAAAAAAAAAGAGAGAACAAAATCTGTGAAAAGGTTCTGGTTAATATGCGCATACCCAGTGCGGTTCTGAAGGCGCTGTGTGTATCCTGGCTGGTCTCAATGACACGAAAGGGGGAGAGGAAGGGATAGAGAGAGAGAGAAGAAACGTATTCCGTGAGGAGGGGGGGGTCTTTAGTTCATCAGGCCTAGGACCCCCGGGTATACGCGTTGAGGGGGAAACTGATAGGTCATATTTCCATGTGCATCACCGGTATATTATGTATTGGAGCGGGCATTACACGTCAAACACAGCAGGAATGTCATCCGCCCACCAGGCGTCTACTTCATCGGATCGATCCATGGCGAGCGACGTGTTCAGACGTAGGGAAAAAAAATCCATCGCTTTCAAATGGGTGGTGTTAAAAAAAGAAAAGACGTGTACATCATATGTACAATTAAGGTAAGGCTACTACACAGCCTCTCACATGCAAATCGAAAATGAAAAAAAGGAAAGAAAAAAAAAAAAGTTCTTTTCCTTTCTTCCCCTTTGCTCTCTCTCGGTCGTCCGGCATTCTTCCCATTCGCAGACACCAGCGTCTCTCTCCCCCCTCCTGGTTCGTTGCATGCATGCGCCTATCGTATGAGCACTTCTTTTCCTGTCCTGTGTCTTCCGGCATCGACGGGCTCTTTGCCCCCCCTCCCCTCCCCTTGGCCCTCCACCGCTAATTAAGAAAAACAACAACAACAACAACAACAACAACAGCTTCTGGTCATGGCTTTCGTTGGCATTCTCCCCTGCTCACTGTCTTGTGGCACGTCATAAACTGATCAAAATGAGTGGACCGTCGATCAATGGCTCCTCTGCCTCCCTCATTTCGGGTCGAGGACGACGCCCTCGTACTGCCGGCCCTTGATGCTTTCGAGAATGTGGTAAAAGTGGCGCTTGCTGTTCTCGACCGAGGCCGAGTCCTGCTGGTTGCCTGCGAGGTTGGAGTGGATGAGCTCGATGAGACCGTTGAGGTACTTGGTCGTGACCTGGCGTGGGGGGTTAGAAAACTGGGACATGGTCAAAGGGGGGGGGGAGACTGGGTCATATGGAGGCTTACCGCTGCGTTTTGCTGCTCAAAGTAGTAGACGTATCGGTCTAGGATCTCGACAAAGAGCTCAATCGACGTCGCCGTCTCCATGCACGAGTCGGCGACACGCAGCGCTCTCTGGAGACATTCGAGCACTCTCTTGCCGTCGCGGTACAGCTGCGAAGAGTCAGTATTAGGCATGGCATCCCGACATGTGGTGTGCGTTCCGTGACTTACCCCGGTCTCGTCCGTCTCTCCGTTGAAAGCCATCGGCGTGGCCCACCAGAGGTGGCTCGCGAGATAGACGGCGCGGCACTGGTCCGGCTTCCGCAGGAGCTTGCTGCCGTGCTGGGCGCACTTGGTGATGAGAGTGTCGTAGTTCTCCTTGCCAAAGTTCCTCGTCTGGTGCAGCGCCGTCGCGATGACGCAGACGGCCTGGAACTGTGCCTTGGAGTCCGAAATCGCCTCTTCGTAGACGGTGAATGCTTGAGCAAAGAACTCATAGGCCACCTCCTCGAAGCCCGTCATGTCGGCCGTCTGTCCGGACGCGCAGAAGAGGCGCAACGCTAGCTCGGCCGCGCCCGCACCGTTAACGCGGGTGTACAACGTGCTCAGGGCCGAGTGCATGAACTTGAACAGCGCGTTGCTCTGGGTTTCCCAGTTGTCGTCGTAGTGCTCGCGCGTCTTGAAGCGTCTGGCCAGCTTCATGCAGGCTGTGATGAGCGGTGGCGTCGTCGTGCGGATTCTCTCGTTGCCTTCCGAGTAGGCCTTGCGCGTCATCTGCAGCAGGCGGAACTGTGTATCGTTATCTTCGCCATTGATGAGGTGGACGATCCTGGCCAGCCAGCCCTGCTCCTCCATCGTCTCGTCCGTCTCGACGGCGCGGCGCTGTGCGACGCCGGGGTAGTTGGAGGGCGCCTGGGAGCCCTCCTTAATGAGCACCTTCAGCACCTCCAGAACATTCTCCAGCTGGTTGGGCGTCGAGATCCGCGTCTGGTCACGCAGGAGGGTGCGGGCCACCTCGCCGGCGACGGCGCGGCGTGTCGGGTACGACTGGGACTGGAAGAGGGGGACGTAGGTGGGCAGAGAGAGGGCCGTGAAGATGGAGAGATATCGGTTGAGGGGCGCTTGGAGCAGAGCCAAAAGACTCTGCTGAGCAGGGGGCGAGTGCAGATCGGCATTGTTTGCGTTTTCTCTGACTTTGATGGTCGCGTATTCCAGAATCTGGTTGACAAAGTCCAGACGTTCGGGGTAGATGTTGAGCGCCAGATTTGTCAACGAGCACAGCAATGCTATCGTGTCCTGGATGGGCAGGTGCTGCGCCTCGACGAGGTTCTTGACTTGGCTGAAGAAGATCTCGTACAGCTGGACGTTCTCCGGGATGCCCTTCTCGGGCGCGCCCCCTTCGCCATTTACGGCAGTGGCCTCGGTGTCTGCAATCGACGGCGTCGGCTCCTCTGGGGGCGGGAGGTCCTCTGCTGCGCGTGCTTCGTTCTCGCTGGGCTGGTTGGCGCCGTTGGTACCGAATTCCACGGGTTTGCTGGGGTCTTGCATGTCGGCGTGGCCGCCGGCCGAGTCTTGGCCGTCCTTCTTCAGGCTGGTCTTTTCCAACAAGGCTGCCAGCGCCTCCTCCTCCAACTTGGCTCGGTCGCCCGCTCCGTCGTCCTTGGACTCGCGCTCTGCGTAGTCCGAGAGGCGATCCATCAAGCCAATGACAATAGCCTTGACGTTGACGTGTGGGTTCAGTCGAGAGACTGCGCCAAGAAACTGGTCCAGTGTGTGGAGGTGGAAGTCGTCCGGGAACACCTGGGTAATGACCTCCAAGAGATATTCCTGAGCCAGAACATCGCGACATTGTACGACCTGCTCCAGCAGAGGGGCGAGGATGCCCGACTTGTATGTCTCCAGGTCCACCAGCTGGCTGAGTCGTACAATGTTGCTTCCGACCAGAAGCTGCAGCTCCTTTCTTTCTCTCGTCCGCTGTTCGCGCTCGCGGGAGTGGCCCTGGTGCTGCAGGCGGACCCAGAGCTTGTTCATTTCGACAAAGTTGGTGAGGATGAAGTTGATCGAGTCGGACAGGTTACCCTCGGGGCCGTCGCCGTCGCCCGTGGGCAGGTAGTCTCTGGCCTGGCCCGACAGGTAGTATCGGAGGAACAGCCCGCGGATGGGATGCTGTATACCCCTGCTCATGTCCATCATGTCCTTCATGAGTTCCTTGACGGGCGCGTCGGGAATCGACATGTAGGCAGTGCCAACGGTGATCATGAGGTACAGGCGCGGAACGATATTGCCGGCATATTGGACAAGCTCGTAGAGGTCGGCGAGGTGGTTCACGGGATGGTTCTCTCGGAGGTGGACGGACAGGTAGCGCAAAGCGTCGAAGACGGCCATGTAGAGCTCGTAGTACTGCTTCGGGCCGAGGCTGCTCGTGCGCAATTCGGAAACCAGGGTAGAGCTACGCGCGAGAGAACGACAGGGTTAGTCTGGGCCATTGAGGCTTATCACGACGATGGGCGAGGTATCTCTCGAGGAGGCTCTGCGGATCCGACGGCAGAGGATGACGTACCAGCACTTGAGGGCATCCATGAGCTTGCTCGGCGTATCGAGGCATTTCCGCATGAGAGCTGTCTGTTGGCGCACAGCGACTAGGGCATCCTCCAAGAGGCGCGCCTGGTCTTCAGGCGGCACCGGAGTCGCAGACATGTCGAGGTAGAACCAGCGGGGCAGCTGTCGATCGAGGCGATGTAGGGGGGGAGGGGCGGGCTTTTTTAGTAGAAGCTCATGGAGGGAAGAAGAAACGACTGCTAGGCGCGGTACAGGGGGTGTAATGAGGCAATTGCGCAATGGAGCAGGGACATACGGATTCGACTTGTGTCGTCGGCGCGGGCGAGGAGAGACAGAAGCTGGGAGGAGTGAGGTCGAGTTGAATGTGTTGACAGGCTGGCTGGCTGGCTGGCTCCAGGCAGGTTGCTGCTTGGTGAGGTAAGGTCGGGACGGCGGAGCTCGGTGCACTCGCTATCAGTGGCTGGAAAAGCCACCCTGTGACGGTGTGGCTGGAGCCTGCTACAGTGTGTCGCCAGTGGCAGGCCGGAGAATCGGGCTGCCTGAATCTATTTGAGATTACCTAATATAGTCGGAGCCGCT